ACGGGGTGGAAGCTCGGCCGGCCCTGCCCTGGGCGGCATTGTGTGCCGGGTCTACCTCGTTCTAACTCGGGGCTGTTTGGGGGTCAGGGAACGGGAAGTCCCTGCTTCCAGGGCTCGGCTTCAGTGCGGTGGTGCATGGGGGACAAGAGGGGAAGTAGGAGAGTTTGTTATTTTTGACGAGTTTTTTTTCTCTTGAAGGTTGAAACTTTTTCCGGTGTCTATAAGAAGCTCACGGGCAAGGACGTTAATTTTGAATTCCCAGAGTTCCAGCTGTAAAGAAAAATGACTAAATAAAATACGTTCTTAGTGTTGTTTAGAGACGTGTCGCTCCCTCCTTGGTGCGGTTTCAGGCCCGGCGGGAGGCGGGAGGCAGGAGGCGGGATGTGACCAGCAGTGCTGACCGCGCACAGTCAGGGGCGGCCGGGCTTGCCTGGCTCCTGTGAGAGGCGGGCAGTGTCAGGAGCTGAGCTGCATGATGGCGACGGGCTTTTCCACGCGCAGAGTCTGATGAGAAAGTGTGTTTGCCAGTTTTCTTTTGTGGTTAAAAAGCACACAAGCTTCACATCTGCAGCATTGTTACTTGTACAGCTCCGTAGCATTGAACACGTTTCGGTGTCCTGGCCAGACCTCCAGCCCTGTTGGTCGTGCAGAACCGAACCAGACTCATTGAGCCCGCCCCGCCCCTCCCCCTCGACCCCCCAGGGCCGCGCGTGTCCATGCGGGCTTCACGTTGGGTCTCACATGGTCTTGGAAAGGTCAAGTGTGAGGTGAGATTGGGTTTCATCTAAGGTGTGAACAGGCCAGTGAGCTACTGGGTTCCTTGGTTTTCTCCAGGCCTTCGGGGCAGGTGGCGGTGACGCAGGGTCTGGTCCTGTAGGGTCTGCCAGGGGCTTGTAGGGGCTAAGCCGAGGGCCATGAGGCCAGGCTTCTCAGGATGAGCATCCGCTGCACATTAGGGCTTCGCCTCAGCTGCCAGCCGCCATCGTCAACGCCTGGCATGACGCCCAGGCCACCTGGTCCTGTGTCCTGAGAGACCAGCTGAGCGGGCACACAGGCTGGGACTCTAGTCCTCACTGGGGAGGGAGCGGGCCTCGTGTTGCTCTGCACTTGCAGGAGCTGGAGGAAGGAAGCCCTCGTCCTGTAGGAGGGGAGCCATGGGGAATGTCCTAAGGGGCAGTGTCCCAGGGATAGGACTACAGGCTGAATCTCCAGTGAAATTCCACCCAGAGCCCGGCCTGCTCTGTCCAGACGTCTCCCTTATCCCCGAGGAATGTAAACAGTGACCGGGAGGCTCCGATTCTCCTCCCACTGGAAGTGGCCTCGGAGGGTCAGAGGTCGCGAGGGGAAAGGCCTTCACCAATGGCCAGGACTGGAGAGCTAGGAATGAGCCGAGGGGAAGGAGAGAGGACGACGCCTGCAAGGAGAAGCACCATGGTTCCTGATGACGTGTGCATTTGTGAGGCACAGTAAACGCGTCGCAGCCTAAGAACCAGGTGGTCATGGCTCCACTCCCAGGCAGGGCACATCCCCAGTAGGAGGCATCTGATCAATTACTCTCATTGATGTTTCTATCTCCCTCTGAAATCAATAAAAATATTTTTAACGAATTTTGCATCTGTAGATGGAATCTCAGTGGGAGGGTGGGTGGTGGGAGGTGAGCAGCCCATGGACACAGACAATAGGGTGGTGAGTGGGGGACGGGGCGGGCTGGACGGGGTCAGGGGGGAAAGGGACATGTAATACCTTCAACAATAAAGATCTTTAAGGTGTTTGCATCTCTACCCTGTGGGTTATGGTCCATAGTTGGGTTTGCACTGCCATTGCATGGCTTTGGTTTTGGGGTAACACCAACCTCCTGGGTGAATGGCTAAGTGCTCTCCCATGTGCTGGGAGAGGAAGCAGAGTTGGTGTTAATTTTCCTTAAGCGTTCGGTGGGATTCTGTGAAACCACCTGCCTGTCACTTCGGGGAGTCCTGAATCCAGCTCCCGGGGCCGGGGAGGGGTGTGTGTGTGTGACGCCTCCCCCCCACGTCGGGCCTGTGGTGGCTCCGCTCTGCGTTGTCCCATGTGCCAGTGCTGTCGGCGGTTTAATGAAGAGCCCCCTCTCCTGGGTCCGGTGAGGTGCGTGGAACTTGTCAGGCTTCTCGTCTGTGATTTGTTACGACTTCCCTTTCCAGTCAAATAAACAACTTTGAAGCCAGCTTTCCGTGACCATCTCCTACGCATCTTTCTTAAGGAAGCCTCGCCCCCTTGTGTAAGGGGAGCCGCCCAGCCCCCCAGAACACGCGTCGAAGCCTCGCCCCCTTGTGTAAGGGGAGCCGCCCAGCCCCCCAGAACACACGTCGGGGGCATGGGTTGCCTTCTCGTGGAAGCACAAGGAGGAGTGAGCTGGAGTCACCTCGGGGTGGGTCTGGACAAGCCCTCAGGCTTTACTCTGAAGCCCCACGTGGAACAAAGGAAACGTCCACGTTAGTTTTCGTCTGAGGGACACCAGGTGGCCGTGGCCACTCCGCCTGTGCTTTCGTGGCTTCCAAAAGGCCTGTTTTATTTCATTATTGTTAGGTATGTTTGCATGGATTTCAGAGAGACGGAGTGAGGGATAGAAACCAAAGACGAGAGAATCATGGATCCGCTGCCTCCTGCACGTCCCCCTGGGGATCGAGCCCACAGCCTGGCCTGTGCCTGACCTGGTTGGTGACTTGATGCCGGGCACTCACACTTTCCCAAAAGGAAAGAACGAGAAGAGCAGACGCTGGGTGTCGGGGAGAGTTGGCTAGCCCTCTGCCAGCTGCCCCGGGAGCCTGACTCCCCGTCTGACTCCCCGACTGCGTTCCCACACTGCTCCGCCCCCAGCAGGTCAGGGATGTTTCAAACAGGAAGCTGTTTGCAGATAACACTGGGGGCCCAGCCTGGTTTGCTGGGCGGTGGGACAGCTCCAGCTGCTCCCCTCTGTGGGGCTGCACTGCCCGCCCATCCGCAGTGTCCTTCTGGGTCCCCGGCAGTCAGGACGCCCCTTCGCCTCGCCTGCGCCTCAGGTAGGGAGGCCCTGGCCCGGGACTTGCCACCTTGGGGAGCAGGCAGAGGGGGAGCCGCAGGGGGAGGCTGAGCTGGAAGGTGGGTTCCAGACAGCGCAGGACCTGGTGGAGGGACGGGGTCTCTGCTGAGCTCCAGGCAAGGGCGCGGCAGAGTCCACAGGACCTGGGCCCTGGCCGTGGTGCTCACCAGGTGGCGTGGGAGTCATGACAGGGCCTGGGTGCAGGCGAGGGGACCGCGTGAAGGGATTGTCCCTGCAGCCAGCACAGGCTCAGGGCGCCTCGACCCCCTGCGTGGGGTCTCGTGGACGCCCAGTCACCTGCACTCAATGGCCAGTGACTCAGGAACGAGGACCCCGGATGTGGAACAAGCAGGTCACCTTCCACAGCGGGACACCTGGTCTCCCAAACGGGGTGAGATGAGAGCCGGGGGCCCTTCCAGCCGGATGCCTGGTGTGGCGCTGGCCGTGGCGCTGGCTGAGGTGCCAGTGGGTCGGGGGCTCTGGATGGACACGTGCTGTGGCCGCCTCACGTGCGTGACGACTCCTCGTGCAGTGGGGAGCGCTCTGCGGACCACAGGCCGGGCAGGGCCCGACTTGCCCAGCTGTTCCATTCATTTACAATTTTGAAAAGTTTCCCTAAGAAGAGAACAGGCAAGATGTGTGTCAATCTAAGAAAATAATAGGGAACGGCCTCTGCTTGGCCTGTGATTTTGGTAAAAAGATAAGAAAAATGTGCCGTTGGGTGGCAGCCTGTCCTGGCTGCAGCCCCTAGGGGCCTGGTCCCTGGGCGGGGGCGGCGGGCCTGTGCTCCCCAGGCTGGTGACAAAGGGCGGGCCCTGTGCAGGTGTTTGCTAAGTGGACATTGCATGTTTGGCAAATTCACCCTTTTATTGTCGCTGTGGGTGTCACCTTGTCCTGTGCCCCCTGGGAATTCCAGTGGAATCTCTCTCCCTCTGGAGAGCCGCCTCCTTTGCTGACGGAGGGTCTGAGCCTCCTGGGCCCCGGGGAGATGAGGTTCTCACAGGGGCCTCAGGGCTGCAGCTTCCCCATTGATCAAGGGAAATTCCTCTTCCCAGAGGGCAGGAGGGAGCCAGGAGGGTGAGGGTAAGGGTGAGGGTGCAGGTGGGATCTCGGGGGCCAGGGGGACAGGGCCTCCCCCGTGCCCCCCACCTCTGCCGGCAGGATGTAGGGGCTGACCAGGATCAGGGAGGCCTGGGGTGGCCACGGATGCGTAAGTGGCAGCCGGGTCAGTGAGTCCCACGTGGGGGGGAGGGTCGGCAGGTGCTCCCCGAGTGACACAGGGACAGCTGTGTCCTGTCCCTTCAACTCCCCGTCCCTCCCCGTAGTCAGGAGCTTGGGCTGCCAGAGCCACACGGTGGGCAGCCCGGTGCGTGTGGGGCAGGGGCCCAGTCCCCGGGACTCCACACGGTGACCTGCTGTCTGTGACACTCAAGCCGAGCTCAGCCACGCAGCCTCCTGTACGGACACGTAGCCAGAAGTGCAGCTGTTTCAGAACCAGCCCAACAGCGGCGAGCTCACTCACTGTCGGGAGAGCGTGCCTGCGAGGGGACCCGGTGGGACGGGGCGGGCCGGCAGCGCGAGGCAGAGCTGGCGTGTGAGGCCGGGCACGGGCCTCAAGGCCTCATGGACCATGAACACGCCTTAGCGTGTGTGCAGTGTCCGCCACAAAGAACTAGAAGAGAGCCTGGCTGGCGTGGCTCCGTGGTTGAGTGCCGTCCCATGAACCAAGAGGTCACGGTTCGATTCCCCATCAGGGCACAGGCCCGGGTTGCAGGCTCGATCCCCAGTGGGGGCCGTGCAGGAGGCAGCCCAGCAATGTTTCTCTCTCTCTCTCCCCTCCTTTCCTCTCTCTAAAAAAATGAATAAAAACGCGTGTTTTTTAA